AGGGGTTCTGTACTCTTGTACTTCAACCCCATACACAGGTCCGCCCAGGCCCCGCTGGAGGCGGAAGGGGAGGCGGAGAGGCTGGCTGCTCGCTGCCTCGCTCCCTGCTGCTTGCCTCGGCTTCGCCCTCCCGTCTCGCGCGTCCCTGCGCGCCCCTGCCGCTGCCGCACTTTCCGTCACTCTCTGCCCCGCGGAGCGCATCCGCCCGCTTCCTGGCGACAGGGTCCGGTCTCTCATCCCTGCAGCCAGGTGGGCGCTGGATCGAATGTATGATGAGGATTCGGTGCGCCGCGGCCACGTGCGAGGAGGCGGGGACGCGCTGCGCACGGAGCTGCTGGACATCGAGTCGCGGCTCTGGGCGACCCTGCAGTCCACCTCGCGCTCCCTCACGGCGGGCTTGGCGAGCTTCTGCACGGCGGTCGAAGGCCGATTGGGGCGCCGTGGAAGCGCAGGTGACCAACGTGCAGGACGACGACGCTGCCCAGCTGCGCCGGGAGATGGATCAAGGGAGGTAAAACCATGCGCTTAGTAGAGTGCAGTGAACGGCTCCGCGTGTCGGAGTGGTTCCCGTCGGGGTGGATGTTCTGCCCCCTCCAATGGATGAGCTGCGCCGCGAGCTCGGGGTCGTCTAATCCACGGAGACTGCGCCGCTCCCTCATGGGCCAGCATGGTCGCGCACGCCTGGGCCGCGCGTCCTGGTCCTCCACGCCCAGACAGCAGCGGCGAAGGAGGCGGTCGCGGGCACGCTGCGCCCTCTGCTGGCTGACGCCCAGGTGGCGGCCACGGCTCACATGGCTCGAGTCGGAGATCGGCGACAGAATGGATTTTGTCCGTCGAATATACAGAAAATGCGAAGAATGCTCAGTCCATCTACGGAACATGTGATTAAAGGTTCCGTATGTTCGACGAAACAAGCAATTTTGGGGCACAAGTTTGAAGTCGATCCCCTAATCGATTGGAGGACCTGGAGGGCGAGGTCCTGTCGCAGCGGTTCGTGCTCCGCTTCAAGGGCGAGCGTGGCCTTGCGCCCCAGAGGGCCAGCAAAGTTCTTGGGACCATGCGGATCGGGACCTCGGACTGGCGCCGCTTCGGCGGCTGGGCCCCTGGAGGCGAGCCCGTCAAGGTGTCCATCGGGCCCGACAAGAATCGCTCGCAGATTACCCGCGATCGGCCACGCGCAGAGAGGGGGGCAGGGGCAGGGGGGAAGGCTTCTTATAAGCACCCCTGCTTCTGAGAAGGCACGGGCCTTGTCTGTAGAGGTTGGGCTGGCGCCTTCTAAGAATGTGGCTACTTCTAAGAAGACCCCCCCTCCCCCTGCCCCCCCCCTGCGCGCCGCCAGCGCGAGCTCGCCCTGCAGGAGCTCATTGTCGCCCTCCTGCCGCACATGGGGAGCGGCCGCGTCTGTGTGGACAAGTCGGGGGCTGCCCTCAGCAAGAACCGGCGTCATTTCATCGAGGTCGAAGTCGAAGGGCCCGCCTCGGTGCCTCGCGTCCTCTGGTAGAACTGCAACGCGCGGGCTCTGGGACTGGACCACCAGGCTTTGCTGCTGCTGGATCGCGTGGCCTTCGCGCCCGACGATCGAGGTTGGTGCCTCTGACCATCTCGGGGAGCTCTGTGGAGGACCGCGGGAGGTCTTCCGCGCCTCCACCTGGAACGCCTCGCGCTTTCATGCACCGCGACCCGCCGACGGCGGCCGAGCGGGCTGCCCACCTCAGGCAGTGGTGGAAGGGCAAGGGCCCGGTGCACGTACAGGAGACGCATGGCTCTAAAGCGAGGCTCGCTGACCAGCTGCACCTGGTTGGATATCGATGCCGCAGTTTTGCTTCGATCGGCCTGACAGACTCGGGTGGGGCTGGTCGAGCTGGTCGAGCTGGTCGAGCTGGTCGAGCTGGTCGACTGGTCGAGCTGGTCGAGCTGGTCGAGTGGCGAGCTGGTCGAGCTGGTCGGCATTGTGTTCCCGCACACGAGTGGCGAGCTGGTCGAGCTGGTCGACTTCTTGCGCGGGGTGATGGTCCGGGGGAGACCCCAAATGGTGAAGGTGTCTCTGATCCCGCATTCGCGCGACCTCGCCGCGCGGTCACAATTTAAAGTTGCAGGCTTCCCAGCAGAGTTGCATTGCCCAGCGGCTTCGGGAAGATCTGCCGTGGGCGGGCCTCCGCCCCTCGTCGTCAAGCCCGCCTCGTGGTGGGCGGCGACCTAAATTTCAGGGCCTTCCCTGCCGACCCTGAGGAGGCGCCGGCTGCTGGCCGCAGGGAGGAGCACGGGCCTCGCCCGCCTCGCCTAAGGCGCGCGGGACTGCTCGGGACTGCGCGGAGCTGCGACCCGCGGAGCCGACCCGCTGGGCCCAAAACAGCAGGACCTGCAGCTCCATCGACGCGATCTACGCGAGCGCTCCACATTGGCAAAAAAGTCCCAGGCGCGGACGCAGCTCTCCGAGGCGGCGACGCGAAAGGGCTCCGTTGCAATTGGCTCAGCGACCTCACGCTGCTGACCCTTGCGTGGTCGCGCCACCCGCTGGCGCGCCGGCGCCGCGATCGGCCCGCGCCGCTCTCCGATTGCATCGGCGAGCTCCCGCGGAACCCTCCCGCTCGAGCAGCTTCCTGCTCCGGAGCGGTCGCTAGTCTACGCGAGACTTTTGCAAGCGGCTGCGAAGGAAGTGCAGAGTGAGGAGTTAGGGGCGACGTCGCAGACTGGACGCTCGACGGCGACGATCTGGCAACACACGGCTCGGGCCTGCTGGAGAGAGGACTGGCGGCTTGCCGACCTCCCCCGTAGCCGCCGCCCGCCTGCGCGTGAGTTCCTGGGCGCCGACGTCGCGCGACGCGCGGTCGCCGCGAAGCGGTCCGAGGAGTTCCGCCAGGCGCGCCCTCGCCCAAGGCCGTTCCATGGCGTTGCGGGGCCGCGAGGCCGAGGCGGCCGCGGCGGCGGCCCAGGCAAACCCCTTCCTGGCCCAGAGAGCGAGGACCCAGCTCCTGCGCCTGCGCGGGCAGCTGCTGAGCGCAAACCGGCCCCCCGACGGGTCGCAACTTCTGCGAGAATTCGGTCGGGGGAGGCGTTTTCTCGCGGATGGCGGGGACTATGCCGGGAGCTTGGGCGGAGGAGGCCCGAGCGACAGCTTCGCAGCTGCGGAGCACGCGCGGGCACCCGGCGGCGGCTGCCCCAGAGGCTTCCTTGGCAGCCCCGTCGACCGCATCGGCGGCCTCGCTGGGCCTTGCAGAGCTGCGGGCGCCGGGCCACTTCCGGCCGCTTCTGCGCAGCTGCGACAACTCGAGCGCCTTCCCTTCGGCCTCCAGGAGCGGCTGCGATGGGCGCCGAAGGATTGGGAGTCACCGCAGCCCCTGTTGAACGGGCTCCAGGTGCAATGCGACGAGGTCCGCGCCCTGGACTCGGGGCCGACGCGCGAGGAGAGCTTCCGCGCGCGCCTCAGGGCGCTCCGCGGGGGTCCTGGCGCGCGGCTGGGGGGCGCCCGCTCTGCCAGGACATGGCAGACAAATGTAAGGGCGGCGCCGTGGCATCGGCCGCTGGCGCGCGGACGACCACCTCGCAGTCGCGCTCCAGCAGATATCAGCTGATCGGCCTCCGCGAGATTCGGGCGGATCACGAAGGCCTCGGCGCTGCTCGCCAACCTGGCCCCAGCGGAGGAGAAGCGCGCGCGCCGGCTCTTCGCCCCCGCATCCGAGCGGCGGCGGTGCGTCCGCGCAGCCCTGATGGCGAAATGGCCCGGAATCTCCCTGGGCCCGGCAGCCTCGGCGGACCTCCAGCGGGCGTCCGCGCTGGCGAAGCAGGAGCGGCGCGTTCGGAAGATCGCAGCTGCCCCTCATGACGCGCAGATGACGGCGCAGGTCCACCACGAGAGGGTCCTGGCGGTCGCCTCGCACAAGGCGCAGCTGATCCCGCTGCCGAATCGCCCGCCGCAAGCCGAGCGCCACGCGCTTTGTCGGCTGCTGCGGGCGTCTGGCAGCTGCCTCAGGCTCGGCCCTGGATGTCCTCGCCCTGGCCCCGCCGGGCCTGCTCGGGGACTTCTGCGCCGCCGCCCGCGCGGGAGCCGTCCGCGAGACAGCGGCGCGGCGCCCCGCGCTCGAGGCCCTCGGCCGAGTGGCACCGTGCCGTGCTCCTTGAGGAGGCGGCAGCGCTGTCGGGCTCGGAGGCCAGCCTGAGGGCCGCGGCAGAGGAAGCTAAGGAGCGGCGCGGCGAGGGGCGGCGGCCCCGCCTTCAGGCCGCGCCGGCGCGCGCCCTTGTGTGGCCCGAGCGGCGCTCGGCCCTGGCCGCGCGGGCGCGCGAGCGCCTTTCAAAAGCGCCTCGTCCCTCTCGACCTTGATTCGCTCCTTTCCTTCGTCATTTCCTCCCCCTCTGCGTGGCGCTGGGCTCGTGTCAAAACGTGGACGCGGGGATGGGTCACCGACGATAGGTTGAGGACCCCCCTATATGGGTGTCTCCTCGGCTGCGGTGGTGCCCTCGAGTCTCTCTTTCACTACATCGTCTGCCCAAGGCTCGATGCCCTGATGGTTTGGTTCTGGGGCCGTCTTGTTCCATCGGACATGGTAGCTCGGCTAGCCCTTGTCGGTCACTGCACGGACGAGGCCCGTCTTCTGGTGATGCGCTTCCACACGCATCGGCGCGCGCATCAGGTTCGGAAGCGTTGGCCCGACGGGGCGACCGCGCCGCGCGGGGGCCATGGACCTCCCGCGCAACCGACGCTCCGCCCCAGCCTACGCCCGCGCCTGGCAACGTGCGACGGCGGCCAGCTTGCCGTAGGTTTATAGAACTGTTCGGCTTCATTTCGACGCTGGCCCCCCATCCTTCCCTCCTTCTCCCTCCTCCTCCTCCTCCTCCTCCTCCTCCCCTCCTCCTCCTCCTCCCCCTCCTCCTCCTCCTCCTCCCCCTCCTCCTCCTCCTCCTCCTCCTCCTCCTCCTCCTTCTCCTCCTCCTCCTCCTCCACCCTCCTCCCCCTCCTCCCCTTCCCCTCCTTCTTCCTGCCCCCCCAAGAGGGCCGAGGGCAGGGTGGCCTCGGCAGATGGGTCACGCCGGCGATGTACTGGCGCAGCCGCGTGCACTATCCGGACTTCTCCGTGGACTATGCTCGGAGTCTCGCGACGGCGCGGCAGGACGCGGCATTTGGGATGAGCGCGGATATCTCTCGCGGGGCATTGAGATTTTTGTGTCAGGGTCCGACGATGACCCGGGCTATCGAGCCCGCTTGCCTTGCCCTCTTCCCCCTCCGGATAGCATGAGTTTGTCGGTTGCGCAGGTCCGAGGGGGTACGCAGTGCTGGTGTGCGCGGGCATCCGTGGGGCTGCCCTAAGCGAAACGACTTGGTTAACGGCCCGACATCCCCCCCCCACACCAGATAACCGGGGTTATCGCCGAGAAATACAAAAGGATCTCATATCTTGTGCGGCTTGGTCAGGTATTGTTTGTCATGGCGACGGCGGCGTGGAAACTGGTTGGCGTATTTCGACGCATCCGGGAAGAACGGAGGGGCAGGCTTCAAAGCTGAAATTCACGCGCACCCCATGTTTCCCGCTTCTTTCGGGCACATCTCACGGCTTGGTCCCCCAATTGTTGTTGGGGTCGCAGACTTTTTCATGGATTCCAACATTTTCGACGGACGGGCGGGCGGTAGCGATGTAGTGGGTAGACAAGATTGCAATATCAGCATGCGTGGCAGCATTCCGATAGACGTCAATCTCCAGTGAGCAATCGTAGTCGTATTATGCAGTCTCTTTGCCAAGTTTCTTATCTTGATTTCTTCATCCTCCTTTCCTTGCTCTCTCCCTCTTCCCTCCTCCCTCCCTCCTGCTCTCACCCTCCTCCCTCTTTCTTTCTCGACAACGCACTTGGACGAAAACGAATGCCTCACCACCACGGATCGCGCGTGCCTGACTGCCCTGCCCTGGCACCCCTTCGGCGTGCCACGACTTTCGAGCAAGAGAAATCTCTGGAGGAGGAAGATCAGGAGCAGGAGCATCTGTATGAGGAGGAGGAGGAAGAAGAAGAGGAGGAGGAGGAGGAGGAGGGGGATGGGGAGGAGGCGGATTTGGCCGTAGTCCAGGAGGAGGAGGAGGAGTGTAATTGCGTGAGCAGTCCGATGAGGACGGCGACGAGGATGATGATTCTGACGGTAGGGGGTAGGTGGAGAGTAAGGATGCGAATGAATCTGGCCATGCTGCACCACAGCGCATCACATTTCATCACGTGGCTCGTGGTTGGGCTCCTCGCTGCCGAACGCAAAGAGGAGGACGATAGCAGCTCACGAAGAGTAGGAGGAGTGGGCTTTAGGAGGCGTGATCTGGGATTGCCATCGGATGGTTTCGGCCAAAATGGTCGAGAACTGACGTATTATTTGTGCGTGCAGGCATGAGGAGTATTGATCCTCGTCAGACCTTGTTCCACTATCAACATAATTCTCATGTTCAATGTTGTTTCGGGGGGGTAGTTGCATTACTTCTAAAGCGCTATTGTTCCTTCGTTCCCATTTCCCTGCTTCCTCGCAATTCCAGCGCGAACCGTTCCCCTCCCTTTTCAATTATCGCCGATGGTTGTTTGGAGTGCGCGGTTCTTCCCGTACTTCCCAGCCGGTGGGCAGGCAACGAGACTTGGCAAAATGTCGACCACAACATTTGTGGCCGCGCGCTCTCTTCTCTCAAGTTTGTCGTCTGCGATAAGCTGTGCAGCTTCTCCCAGCTATCGCAAGGGAGTGTACGGTCAAGAGCTTTGGCTTAGCGTGTCGCGCCGCCGGTTCTAGCCCACAACGCCTCGGCGTGTCATGCTAATCACGTGCCAAGCCCCAGGCGTCAACGTCCCGCGCTCTTCCCAGCCTCCTGCCGGAGCGACACGCTATCCGTTCGCAGAGCATGACATGTCGCCGAGGCCGCCGCCGCGATACGCGAAGCACAAGTTTTCGATTGCAGGTCGTAGTTCTGCTAGTCATGGGTCGTGTGACTGTCGGCGGATTGTTGTTCCTTTTGGTTGAGCTGTCGCACCGTGTTCTTCGTGGTTCTGCGCGGGATTGGGGCGCAATCTGATGAGCCAGTCCCTCTTGTATCGCGTTCGTAGAGCCTCTCGTGTCCTGCGCAGTCTGCTTGTACCTGCTCTCGTCTCGTCTCGCCCTCTCTCTCCATCTCTCCCTCTCCCTCTCTCTCTCTTGTGTGTGCCTCCCAGTGCCACGAATCCAGGTCTTTCGCCCTTCGCCCCCGTGCATGGCATTGCCCGGCCCCACTCCCCCTCCACGCGCAGGGTACGCTCACAATCCGGTCGACGCAAAGTGTGCGGCAGAGGGCGGTCCAGAGAGTCTCTTGACCTGCCCGACCTGGTTCCAAGAGCTGTGGGGCGAGCAGAAGGCGGGCCGCCGCAACGCCGAAGAGGGGCGAGGTGGAGGCATCCTCATCCTCTTCCTCCTCCTCCTCCTCCTCCTCCTCCTCCTCCTCGGAGCGGCCATGCATCCGAGCTTTTCTGCCAACGAGGAGCAGCTCAAAGCTTCGCGCAATGTTTCTCGCCTCGCTGCTCGTCTGCTTCCGTCGTGGCCGCGGCCGGACCTCGACGGAGTTCCCTACGTGACCCCCCCAAGAAAGCCCAGGGGCCCTGCCTCCACCCACGCAGGGCATCACGAGTGGAGGTGGTGCAGGACTTCCTGGCGCTGAGACAAGTACCTCAGTTTTCGCAGGCAGGCCACACGCCCTTCGTATGAGGGTTGCGCGGAGACCTGCCCCCAGTTGCCTTGTCTGTCGCTGCACGCGGTCATTCCTGCCTTGCTCTGGAGATGGCCAACGATCAGACTTTGATCATGTGCACGAAGTGCAAGGCTTTCTCCGCTCTTGGACAGTTTAGAAAGCTCCGAGCTGAGTGCACACGTCCTCATGGCAACGCCCAGGACTATCGGTCCAGAGTGAAGCGAGGCTGGCACCCGAAGGAATCAATTCGGGTGGAGACACTTCCCCTCAGGGAGTAAGGCTGGTGGCTGGCTGGGCGCTCGTCGACTCCTCCCCCTTCTCCTCCTCCTCCTCCTGCCCCTCCTCCTCCTCCTTCTCGTCCCCCTCCTCGTCCTCCTCCTCCTCCTTCTCAGCCATCTCGGTCAGGGTGGGCGGCAGGTTTGCGTCTGGCCGGGCCCCCCGGAGCTGGGTTGTTAAATTTCCAGGTGGCATTGACGTCCCGAGCCGCAGCGGGGCCAAGCTGACACCATCCCACGGGTAGCTGGAGCCGGGGGCGACCCATACCGTGGATGCTCGAGGGGCCCGGGTTGTGCAGTCCCGAGCGCGGAGGCAGGCGCCCTAGTGAGAGAGGGCCCGCAGCTGTTGACGTGCAGAAGGTGTCAGCCAGCGATGTCACGCCGACGAGGTTACAGATGCCAGCGGTGGTGAGAGGCCAACGCCAATGCCACCACCAACTGGAGGATGCGAGGACCCTTGAGGTCCAAGGCGGTGCAGGCGCGGAGCTCGACTACAGGGCCGACGGCAGCATGCACGTGAAGAGGTGGTGTTAGCAGCTAGCCTGGCCCAGGCCGCGCGGGGCAAGTAAGGCATATGCCGCTGTCCTTCACGCTCTACGTTTCAATTCAAAGTGTTGTTGGTGGGCATTTTTGCTTCACCCTCTACGTTTCAATTCAAAGTGTTGCTGGTGGGCATTTTTGAATACATTGTTGCACTCTGTTCAACTCAACGTTCCATTGCAGTATCGTCCAAATTGAAGTTTCTGTGGTTTGTTCCTCAACGTGTGGATGGGTGCGATCACCACGCGTTGCCGTCCAGTTGTTTCTTCCAATTCAATGCTGCAGTATGTGGGTCATGAGTTGACTTGTCATCGCAATTTGTTTTGTATTCAGTTGGGTGGGATTTTTTTCGTGGCAGGCTGCGCACGCAATCCATATGTCTTTCATGCCTGGCCAGGCCGCCGAAGGTCGAGGATTGGGGACAGATAGTTGCAACTCGCACTTTGCACTCGTGTACTCACGCAGCTCTCGCAGCAGCAGTGCCGCATGTCTTGTCTCGTGCATGGTTTTCTTCCTTCCACGCACTTGCCTCCATGTGCCAATAAGTGTTGCAGCAGGTGCGCCGTCCATGTTTGGGTCTTCCATCAGGCGTTGGATCTAACTAGCATAACCCCAGCATGATCCTCCTTCTCCTTCTCCTCCTGGGGGATGGGGGCGACAAGGAAGAGGGTGGAGGGGGAGACACGAAGAGAGGGACACGTAGAGGGAGGAGGGAGGAAAGGGAGGGGGAGGGCAGAAGGGAGGGAGGGAGGGGTGGAGGAGAAGGAGGGAGAGAAGGGGGCAGGCGGGCGAGACGTGCGTATAGTGGGAAAGTGGGGGAGGGAGTGGGAGAGGCAACGAGAGAGGGAGTGCCGTGTGGAGCGAGGGGAGTGTATCGAGGGGGGAGGGACTGATGGAAGGACGGAGGCGGACGGGTCAGGGGAAGGCAGGAGACGTGAGAAGAGAGGAGGATTGAGAAGGATGGAGGGAGAGAGGGGATGGGCGAAGGGGGACGAGGAAGGAGGATAAGGAAGGAAGGAGGGGAGCGAAGAGGAATGGGAGGAGGAGGAGGAAAAGGAAGAGGAGGAGGAGGAGGAGGAGGAGGGCGTGGATGCAAGAACGCAGGGAAACGAATTGGAGGAGTCTTCGGGCGCTGGGAATGCAGAGGCAGCTGAGAGTGAAATAAGTCGCGGGTGCGTGAAGCTACGGTTGAGCTAGGATGCATGGTGGCAGTGGTGTGGGCAGGGAGCGCCATCTGCGAAAGAGGTGGGGCCGATGGACAGCGGGCATGGGCCTCAGCAAGTCGAATCGTCGATGTCATGGCAGGTGCTGCAGAACAAGTGAGGGGTGTGCCGAAGTGTGCGGCGGGGGCGGCTCCCCTTTCCCATCATCGTCCCCCGCTTGCTGCTGCTCCATCTTCTCATCCAGCAGCAGGGGTGACAACAGATCTTTCAAAGCAGTGGCAGTCGGAGTACATGGCAGTGAGTTGGCAGACTGGTGGTGGAGGAGAACGGCGAGGAGAAGGAGGACGAGAGCGAGGTCCAGGAGGATGATGAGGAGGATGAGTGGCATCAAGTGCGCTGCCTGTCATGGGGCCGTTGCAGGAGTGGCTGAAATGGGGCCTCACAGAGTCCACTACAGACTGGCAGGTGGTGGTCACGCATTTCCCCCCCGTTTACGGCGAGGAGTTCTGGCAGAGGACGCAGTTTGCATCCCTTTCTTGCCCCTCGCCGCCCTCTTCTTCCACTCCTCCCTTCTCTGTCCCACCTCTTCCACTCCCGATCCCTCCTCCTCCTCCTCCTCCTCCTCCTCCTCCTCCTCCGTAGCCATTTTGGCTCAAGATGCATAGTTCCTCAGGGGAACAAGTGGATACCGCTAGTCCGCGGCAGACAAGACCCTTGGCGGTCTGGCAGAGATTGTTCCTCGAACTGACGCTCGCCCCCACGGGTAAACGGAGGCTTTTCCCGTTCCTGTGCGTGCGAACGTCTCAGTCGCAATGGGGCTTCCCGACGCTGCAGCGCTCGCCCAGTGTGCCCAGGAGATCGAGGACATGCCCACCTTCCCAGATGATGATCGTGCTGATGGCCACCGTGTTCGGGGCTCGCCTGAGCCCAAGTACCCGCGCACCGAGGACGGCAAGGGTTCCTCAGGCAGTGGCAAGGGTGTCGCCAGCCTGGCCTCCCGCGCTGCCGCTGCTGGTGCCGCGCTCGTCTTCGGGCGCTCGGATCAGCTCACGCAGTCTCCTGATCAGCCTGCTGTCGGTGCTCCTGTGCCTGCTGGTGGCTCCCCTTCCAGTTCTGACCACGCTCGTGCACCCGCTGGGCATGCTGCTCACGACTACCCCGACGAGTATATCAAAGCTGTCATCGCCGATGGCGTTGCCTCCCAGTTCAGCGAGCTCCGCACGGAGCTCGAAGGTCTCGTCGCCTCGACTGTGGGTGACACTGTCAAATCCAGCAACGCCTCCATCTTGCGGACCCTGGCTGTGCTGCAGAAGCAGTTGGAAGATCAACCAGCAGAGCTTGACCAGAAGGCGATGGCTACTTTCCGACCGCAGCTCGACGAGCTCTCAAGGAAGATGCAGCGACAAATCGATGACGTCACAGGAAAGGTTGCCACTCTCAGTATCGAGCTTGACTCACACACAGAGCAGCTTCGCCAATTACGAGCAGAGATTGCCGAGCTGCGTGAAGGACTTCATGTGGCCAAGCGCCAGGAAGCGGCCCCCTCGCCGCCCGCCAACTTCGACCGCCAGACTGACCCTGCGGTGGTGGTCGCGATGTGTACCAAAATGGTTGGTCTGTCACAGGTACGCGATGTGCTGGCGCCGTTCCTATCTGAGCTTGGATTCGAAGCAGACCAATACACCCTCTCGTGCCCGTCTCCGACTCCTGCCCGCAGGTTTCTCATCAAGTTCAACGGGGCCACCGGCCTCGCCTCTAAGAAGGTCTCGAAGGTGCTCAGCAATCTTCGCCGCAACGATCAGTGGAGGGTGTTCAACGTCGTGGCCTCGGGCGCCGCCGCCGACGGGCGCCTCCACTTGGGGCCCGACAAATCTCCACGCCAGGTTAAGACGGAAATGGCTCTTCGTCGGATCCGTGGTGCATGTGCTGACAAGTTTGGGGGACGGTGGTCTGTTGACCGCGAGCGAGGCATTCTCAAGAGCGGGTGGACCAGCGTGCTCAAGATCCAGCCGAACCCTGATGACGCTCCTTACACCGTGCAGTTCAACCAAGAGGGCATCCTGGACCTCAAGCTCACACGAACCGACATCCAAGCAGTGGTGGATGAAATCACCGCCCCTCCACCTCCTACGACATGGTGTCTTTGACGGCTTCATGCAGCTCTTCCACACTCCGACCCGTGGGAATGAGAATGAATCGATGCGATTCATCACTTGGAATGCTCGAGCTCTGTTACAGTACCGAGGAGCGAAGAGTAGACTCAAGGCGTCATATTTGAAGAGATGTCACCTTCCTGGGTCCATCCTTGCACTACAGGAAGTTCATCAAGATCGTCTGCAACTCGAAGACTATCTCTGTCGTCTTCATCGGGATGCTGTGGTCCACGCCTCGTTTTGCCCTGTCGACGCTGGGGGATCGTCGGCAGGGGGGGTCGCCACTATCTTACCGAAACTCGCGTCTGAGCTCGATGTTACCAGCAATGCTTCGGCCGTCGTGCAAGGAAGGGTCCTTCGAGTCGACGTGGTCGGGCAGGGGTTTCAGCTGGTGCACTTCAATATCCACAATCATGGTCTCAATGCAGTGCAGATCGACGAGATATGTGCGGAGATCGACGCTGCGCGGGTACGGGCGGCCGCTGACCCTCTTCACTTCTTGGTGATCGTGCAGGGCGACCTCAACTTCGGCCCTGATGAAGCGTTGCTCCTCCAGCGGCCTGAACCAGCTCGTGCTACTGATCCTCGGAATCATCGTGCAATGGCAGCTCGGTGGCTGAGGACCTTGGGTTTTTTTCTTGAGATTTCTTCGGGGTCACCGACACACGACACTAAGGACACCAACTCGGTCAGCTGCCTTGATCGGTTCTTCTGCTCGGTGCCAGGATGGATGATGTGCCAAATGTGTGCGGAGTCCTCCGCCATCGGAGAGCCTGAAGAATTATCTCGTTCTCTGATATCGGACCACGCTGCGCTGCTCACGGTGCTTCGCCAACGGCACGCACGCCCCAGGTCTGAGCAGCCAGTGCCTCGCCATATCTTCGAGAGCCCTCTTTTTCGGCTACGTATTGAGGGCGCGTTCAAAGACGGGGCTGGCGCTGAGACGGTGTGCTCGGCGGCAATCTACCAGGAACACTTCAAGGATCTGTTGGAAGAAGCTGCCCGTGAAGTTCGTGACTGGATGTTTGTCCACCATCCTGCTGGCGACGAAACAGCGTTGCTCGTTGCCCGTGGATGTGCGCGAGCAGTATGGCGTCAAGATCTTCATCTCGCCCGTCGGCTGGTGGCGACCTCGGCTACAGCAGCGGGCATGCTCGACATCGGAGGTTCACAAGTCGCCCTTCGACATCCTGAATCATTTCACATGTGGACGGATGGGGTCCATATGAGGCTCCTGGAAAAAAGAGGTTTGTGTTGCCGTTGACGCTGCTGCAAGCTCTCGATCGACCCGTCCGCCCACTTCCTTTCGTCGTCGTCAGTTGCTGGAACGCCAAGCTGCGATATGGGCCCCGTTCTCGCGGAGGTTGGTTCTGCGTGCTGTCCGTGACGGCAATCGGCTTGCTGCTTCTTCTGAGGAAAGGGTTGCTGCCCTCACGGGATATTGGCGTCCTGTCTTCTCTCGCTCGGAAGTCGATCTCGAAGCCGCTCAGACTTATATCGAACGGCAGTGTCCCTCTCCTGTGCTCCCAGACGTTCCCCCACCTTCAAAAGCGACGCTTCGAAATATTGTCTCTCGTGCTCGCCACTCTGCCCCTGGGATCGACGGGCTGCCGTACGCCGCATGGGCTGCTGCCGGTTGCTGCCTGGAAGTATTATGTCTTATGATGGACTGGATCTTGCGGGGCCAGTCGCTCTTCGACTCGGCCAGCGTTACTCTGCAAGCGTACCTGCCTAAGGGATCGGAACACGAAGACCTGGCCTCTGGGGGCTGCATTCGCACTGCAGACAAGATCAGGGCCCTTGGTCTCCGCAACACCGACTTGAAAATACGGACGTCTGCCGTGAACCGATCACTTAAAGGTGTCGTCGACTCCCTCGTCCCCCAGTCGCAGCGCGGCTTTGTTCAGGGCCGAAACTTTGGGTACAACATCCTGGAGCTAGACGGCGTCGGTCGCATCGCTGGGGCCCATCCGCTGGCCCCGTCTAGGATGCCGCTGCTGGTCTCGTTCGATTTCGGCCAGGCCTTCCCGAGCCTCTCCCAGGAGTTCATGATGCTTTTCCTCACTCATCTTCGCTTGCCGCTCCCAGTGATGCACTTTCTCACCTGGTTGTACTCTGCGATAGAAGGGGTCGTGGCCTATGGTGGCCTGCTCCACTCGGTGTATTGGCTGAGGTCGGGGATCGTACAAGGCTGTGGCCTGTCTGGGACCTTGTGCGCGTTGTGCACGGCCCCGTTCCTGATCGACTTGGAATGCTCTCTGGAGGACTCTGGACTTGGCCTGGCTAGGGCCTGCGTGGACGATATTGGGGCTGTCTTGTTCGAAGCTCGCGGGCTCCAGGTGCTACACCGTGTGATGACTACTACGAAGCTCTTTACTGGGCTCTGCCTCAAGGTCAGTAAGTGCAAGGTCACCCCACTACACGAGACATTTAGCCCTGATCTTCAGGATAGGACACGTGATCTCCTCGGTCGGCTTGTTCCCGAATGGCGCGCTTTCGAGGTCGTGGCCCACCTGTTGTATCTTGGCGTTCTCTTGGGGCCCGACGTCACGATCCAGATGCAGTGGGGCGCTGCTCGGATGAAACTAAAGTTACGGGCCAGGCTCCTTGGTTCTGGCTCCGCTCCCGTGGGGATCAACGGCGTGCTCTACCGATCAAGAGCTCTCCCCGTCTTGTCCTACCTGGCTCAGTTCTTCCCCCTGCCTCCCAGGATGGTCGCTTTCGAGCTCTCTGTGCTGACTCAGGTATTCCGTGCTCCCATGGGTACTCTGTCTGCCTCTGGCTGGGCCCAGCTCTCTGCGTGGGGTGGCCCCAAGATCCCACTCATGCAACATACATGCGCCGCTGCGTTGACCCGAGCCGCCACCATTACGTTCAGCGAACATACCCACATGCGCTCTCACATTACTAACACTACCCGTTCATGGAATGATGATCTGCTGCAGGGAAGATTCGATGATGCTTTCCTCGCGACCAGTCGCACACGGGTGGATTGGATGTGTGACGCTGGACGGCACTGGCGGCTACCGCCCATCCTGCAGACCTACGCCTGGCTGCGGCAAGGCTCTACGTGTGCTTGCTACCCTTCGGACATCCTACGCTGCTGTACGTCTGCTATTGCTTTGGAAATGTCGGTCACGGGGCGAGCACGCAAATTTCAGAGAGCTGCCACCACAGCACTATACGAGTAGTTCGTCACCCCGTTCCCGTTGTACGTGATCTTCGAGACCAGGCTGGCTCGCTTTTTTACCATGTATGAACCCTTCTTACATCGGGTGCCGTGGGAGGCGATTCAGATGTTGATGCAGCTGCTGCCCACGAGCTGGGTATTCCCTGTTATTGAGACTTGGGCCTCTGCTTGGCTC